GAAGAAATTGGATTGGAGTATATAGCGCTACAGTACGGCGAGGTACTGTAGCATGCATATGTGTGTACTGTGGCGAGCAGTACATGCGTGTGTACGTGATGTATGCATGCCCATGTGTGTTGGTTCTGGTCTGTTGGAAGGCCGAGCAGGCCCAGGCGTCGGCCCACGCTGGACGAGCGGGAGCCGTACGGAGAAGGACATGTGTTGAAGACGGATTTGATCAGCAGAGGGAGTCCGACATGGCGACGGCGATTTTTCATGGCTGGTGCGGCTGTGGTTTTGGAGAAAAAGGAAAGTGAGGGATTGAGTTCTATTAGAAATAGGAGTTCTATACCTATTTAAGTATGGGGTTTTTTATCTATAAATAAAGAGGGAGCATGAGACTTCCTAGTATCGATTTTAGAGAGACACAAGTTGAGAGAAAGTTAGGGTTTCGAGTTTAGTTCGAGATTTTGGTGAGGAGTGCTGTTGGTGCACTTTATAAATACTAGTTGATGCAATAAAGTCGAAAAGTTTCAATCTACATCTTCGAGTTTGTCATCTACCGGTGTTTCTGGGTCCCGACGGTCTAACCGCAGGTGTGCGCGCAATCTGACCGGTGGGATAGCGGTGGTCTGACCGCAGGTGTACGGGCGGTCTGACCGGCGAGGCTTCGGCAGTCTGACCGGCGGCAGGTGGGCGGTTCGACTGGCGGCGACTGGACTTCGTCATCGACTTCGTTTGAGGGTAATCTTTAATTCCGCAAAAGATTTTTGGGTTTTTGGTCTTCCCTACCATTCACCTCTCTCTGGTAGGTTTGTTCGATCTTGTGCGATCCTACAGCACAAGCGAGGACTGATCTGGGGGAGAAAGACCTTGCTGCTGGTGCTACTCCAAGATGATGATGGTTGATTTTGTTGCTGATGGAAGATCAAGTGACGGACGAGCTTGATGCTGGCTGTTGCTCGGAGACGAAGGCACTGACTGGTGCTGCTGGTGCTACTTGACAACAACGACGAAGAGTGACGAGATGCTTGACGCGATGGATGGCCGGCGACGAGACTAGTGATGACCAATGCGGCTTCCTGCTAGCAGCGACCAAAAATATTTTTGCTATTGCTGTTGACGATTGTAGATGACAGACGACAACGACGATGGCCCGGCGCGCGCCGGCTATGGGAGATTTGGTGGGTAGATTTTGGATCTAATGTCACTTTAAGAGAAGATTTGGGGATTGAATTTGTGCATTGACTTGGGATCAATAGACCATATAAAATGTACACAAGAGTATGAGAAAAGACCAAAATGCCTTTAGACACACTAACACACCCTTAATACTTAGAGATATTCAATTTTATACTGAAAAATATGATACCTTCTCGAGAATGATAGAATTATCCTTAGAAGAAAGTAGGTCAGATTTTTCCCAATGCACTATTTATTTTATTCTTTCCTATTTAACAAATCGTGATTTTTTTTTCAGAACGATTCCTAGCTAGATTTATTTGATTCGGCCAGGCATTGATGGCTTGGGACATGACAGAGAGCTCTAGCCCGTAGTTGGCATAAACACTGAGCTTTGGCTTGTCAGTACGGTTGTGACCGTGAAGGACAGTGGTGATGCCGTGATGGTAGGAACAGTAAAATTTGTAGTTTATTATTATTATTTATTTTGCTTCTACCTTTTTAACTTTATTTTCATTTTCTTAAATAATTTCACAATTATTCTTTTTTTAATTTTTTCCCAGTTTGGTCTTCATTTTCTTTTATTTTTTGATGATTAATGGAAAATGAATTTCTTTAGTTGCAAAGGGGCAGGCCCTATGTTTTTCCTTTTAAAATCTACTGGTGTTTTCTGTATTTAGTTTTTCCCCGATGGATCTGCATTTTTATCAATTCTTTACCTCATTTTAATCCTAGATTTATCTCAAAGTTTAAATATGCCACGTGGTTCAATGATACTAATTATTGAGGCCAAACTGTCGGCTTGAGAAGATTAGATTCTAATTATTGAGGCCAAACTGTCGGCTTGAGAAGATTAGATTCGCAAAATGCACATACCCCTCATCTACAATATCTGGCTAACCAAAATCAAACTAAATAACCATAATGCACTTATATACTTAGATCGAACATTTCCCTTTCTTTTAAAAAAAATTCGTATCAAATCACCCGTACATCCAATGCAATAATAATATGGCAAAATTTGCTACGTGACACTTAAAAAATGTGGTATTGGCTACAAGACATTGTAATAATCTGATTTTGCTGCTGGACACTATAAAATTGTGGTATTTTGCTAATGGACATGCCTCTCATTAAAATAATATATTTGAGTGATTAAAAGAGAAACACACTAAAGAATGACCTCAGCACCCTTCTCATTTTCACTTAGGTTTTTAAAGAGCGAGCACAATCTCTTCATCCATAGCCCTATTTCCAATTTCCTTTCACCAGTGAGTTCTTATAATACTTAGTTACATTTCTATTCAAATGGATTTTTACTTCCTTTCACCTTGGCCTCCATTCGAAACTTGCGCTACTGCCACCTTGCTTCTCCATTGGTGTTAAGGGGACAGAGGAGCACGGCCAACTGCTCTCCTGCAGCCTTTTCGGTCTCCTTGCCACCGCGAGGTTGCGAACTTGAAAAACGACTAGTCGATCGCAAGCAGTGAGGAACCGAATCCTCCAGGTGGCGACATGGACGAGGAGGCCGGACGGAATTGCGTGAGGAACCGAATCCTGATGGCCCTCTTCAGTGGACACAAAGCAGCCATGCTTGCCCGTTGGGCAGTATGATGAGAGGTCCATCGACCTGCTAGAGCCAGTGCCGCTGTGCCCCCATCAATCTACACAGGCTAAGCTGCTAAGCACACATATTTAGTTTGATCAGAAGGGTAAAACGGACATTTCATGCGGCTTCTCTCTCCTCAATGTGATGAAAATAATATAATAATGCTCACGGTGTCTAGTAGTAAAATACCATAAATTTACAGTGTCCAACAGCAAAACCATAATCTTACGATGTCTTGTAGCCAATATCATATTTTTCGAGTGTTATGTAGCAAATTTTGCCATAATATGACAAAATTTGGCTGACATGCTCCCCATGGCACCACCATCAGTCCACCACCTATTCCAACCTCAACACGACAAGTAGACAATCACACAGTTTGAACAAAATTTTCACCCTACAAGCTGTCATACAAGCTAATGACACATCCTTTCGGCATGCAGATGGAATCTCTGGAAATGAGACAGGTTGATTTTTCTTCACCACAAAGATTGATTTCACTTGTCGTTATTTCACTTGTGCAAAATTCAAAATACATCTGGGTCGATGGATTGAAACAGTAAAATCTAGAATGCTATATATCAAGTCCAAGTCCAGCCATGAGCCATTACATACCTTCTATGCGTAGCTAAATAGTAGCATTCAATCCAGATACGCTTTTGAATAAGGAATAATCATCAAATGCATTGTTTCTCAGAAATAAAAGAAGACCAGGAGGCTAATCAGGGTACATATAACATGATAACCATCAGGCAACAGGTCAGGATATGCATGCATTGGTTTCAGGTCGACAAGTTGGCAACAGCAGCAACCAACATCCTCCAGGAAGAACTCTAATAAGCCTTGCTTGTTTATACTAATATACTCCCAAGTCCCAACTACATATTTTTCTCAACAAACTAATGAGCTGAAACCACACCACAGAATAAAAATGAGACATGCAGCATATAGGCCATCTGATGTTTCTAACACAATGCACACTACCATCTCAAGTTGACAAACTTTGTTATCCTTTTTTTAACATTTGTTATAACAAATATTTTTAAATTAGGATTCATCAAATCTTCTTTTCCTCATGTTCTGTCATGGATGCTGCTTAAATAAGGAAAAGAAGGAATTCAATACAGCTACATAGGACCATCTTTCCCCAGAACCATGTACTTATCAAAATGAAACAACTATATGGAGATAGCTGTCATGCTATTAAAATGTACAAGTATAGAACCTTGATATTATACTATGCACTAAAAGATGACCCTGAAGTTTGATCGCATAATAAAGCGTCGTCTCAAAGCTATCAGCATCACTGAATAACTGAACGACTCATACATAAGATAGATTACAGAGGAAAACAATACCTGATTCTCCTCTGGTTGAAACAACTAAGATGCAGTAGTTCCATCAGCTGCCAAACTATGCCGTCAGAAGCTTGATTCAAGACTTATGATTCTTATGCTCCTATATATGACGCTAGATATATTAGATCACTTCAATCTTATGAAGGATCTTGAACTTGAATATTGTTATGAATGCAGCAGAATTTCAGTAGGACGGTAGGACAATGATCATATCTTTACCTCTGAAGCTTCGTCCATACTGTTGTTTAGCTTTCCAAGCATACAACCTTGATAAACTTCACTATGAGAGAGGGTTTTATGTTGTGCTCGGCAATGTAAAAATAGAGCTATTATTCTGGCTGACTCATAACACAGGAATAAATCTCTTATATATATGCGGGGGCAGAGGCAAACCTACGGAAATTTGGGCTTGAGCTTGGCTTTAGGCTTATTATTAGTAGCTCTATTAAAATATTATGAAAATCCAGAGATATAAAATAGTTAGACATGAGCACATCAGAAAATAATCTGCTTGACCAATTTGTGGCTCTGCCCCTTCTTATATGCACTTAAAATACCTCGGTGACCTATTTATTGATGAGGACTTAGGGCTATAAAACCTGGTTTCACCTTTCATTTAAACCTCAGTATGATGTTAAATTGAAATTTGATAGTTTATCAGGTGACCAGATATACAAGAACTAATCTTACGGCTTTCCAGGCACAAAGTATAATTGAGCCTAATTGGCTGAGTAACTACATTCACGGATATATGAACAGAAAACATACCTCCAAAAATTATGTGCCAGATTGTACATTAACAGCTATCATCCAATTTTGAAGGTTGCATGATTAATATCATAATATCATCAAAATAATTGCTTTAGTCATCCATTCCTACCACAATGACATGCATTTGTTATCTGTATTCTGTAGTGGTTTCATTATCAAAGCACTATAAGCATAAGCAAGTTCTTTTTTATTTACTGGACAGCTGAAGACACTGATATTTGACAATTTATACAATAACCGTTCGACAAAAGGGTGCACAAAATTTAAGACATAAACTAATGACACATGGGTTACCAGGATATGAGCCACTCTATGAAAATTAGCTGCAGGCCATTCATTTAAATCAAAAATAAAGTGAATAACCTACCCATCAGCTCTGCTAACCTATCCATGAATTGGTCACCTAGATCTAAACTAACAGCCCATGGCTTAAAGTTTGGACAAGCTAATACTATAGGGAACTAAATTAACTAATCATAGAGTAAGCTTAATTAATCAAGAAGCACGGAACTTGCTTGTCTTCTCAAATAAATCTGCCAACACAGAAGGGCAACTTCTTTTGAGATTTGCATAGCCTTTGGTCCTGACCATAGCATCAACCTCATCCAGAGAGCAAATGTACTGAATGCAAACATCCTTAAGCTTATCACAGTTATGCTGGTCAGCTAAAGCCAGCGTAGTCGCCACGTTCTTCACATCAACATACTTTCCAAGGATGCTTTGGCACATCAACTTCAACCTATCCATGGCATATCTATCCGCCGCCACGACTAGATGCCGGATAAATTCGACATAATCATCTCCCTCAAGATCGCCAATGTCAGCAGGCAACACATCAGTGTAGATGAAATGCAGGAGAGCCCTGAAGACAGAAGGCTGCATGTCCTTGATATCTATGGAAAATGTGCCCCTTTCAATCATCTCCCCGTAAAACTCCGCCTTGAAGACGGGCGATCGCGCGGCGAGCACGAGCTTGTGCGCGGCGAAGGACTCTCCCTCGACACTGAAAACCACATCCCTCCCTACATCCTCTTCCTCCTCCAACAGCTTCCCAAAATGTTCAGATAGCTCTGAAGGTGGCACGCCGATTTCAGAGCAACCAATGGTTCTTGACACCTGCGGCCCCTTGGTGACAGTAACCTCGCATTCAACCGTGAGGCGATCATTCACAATGTAGCCAGATTCCTCCATCTCCAGATCACTTCTCGGTATGAAGAGTGGGGATCTTGGCCCGAAACGGCTCGAATCGGAGGAATCGAACAGCCTCGGCGATGATCGGGACCAATTGCAGCGGATCCCTCCGGTGACCGGATCAACCAGGCCCAGCGTGTAGAACGCCATGGCCTTGGCGTTCTCGGTCATCAGCTCCAGATACACCGACACGTAGTCCATGGAATCCTCGGTGACTCCGTCGGGGTAGAGGCGGATGGCCCAATCGTGGCCGCCGACGGCGAAGGTGCCCGACCGGATGAAGGTCCCGACGCCGATGCCCTTGTTGAGGCTGTAGCCGACGATCTTGAACGCGTGCGTGCCCTCCGATACCTCCGTCGTGCACCACGACACCGTCTTCTTCTTCTTGGATCCCGTCCCCATCACGGCGACGGCGGCGGAGGAGGAGAGGAGGCGAGCGGAGGGGAGCCTGAGAAGACGAGGAGGAGGAGAAGCGGCGGAGGAGGAGGAAAAAGGTAATTGGGAGTTTGGAAGAGGAGGAGACGGCCCGAGCGTTAGGGTAGAGGGAGATTAATTTCCTTCCTTCCAAAAATAAATAGAAGGCGTCCGTATTTTTGAAAACATAATATTTGTAAATTTTTAAAAATAAATAAAATAACAATGTATCTTACCCATATGGACGCGCACGTATACCCTACCCCTACGAGCACATCTGGAAGATTGGGCTGACATATCTTCAGGGTCTGACATTTCAGACTGAAATCAGAAATTTCGGTCATTTTGGACCCACTCCTATACGATATTATTTTGGCTGAAATTTTCAATATTTTTAATTTTTTGTGAATTTTGGTAATATGTGTTCAAATTTAACTAAATTTTGTTCCAAATTTCGAAAATTTCGCCATATCAGCACCGCCCGATACAAACACTGAAAACGAAAAATTGAAACATGCATATCTTGAAATTGGCAAAGTCACCACAGGAGTCTCGCTGTTGGCGTGTACGTCACCTACTACTGAAAAAATAATTAGCCGTAAATACGAGCACCCGTGTCAAATGTAGGATTTTTACCCGAGTAAAATAGTTCCACCAAAAAAACCTAACCAGTATGCTCACTTCAAAATAACAATGTATTTGGCCTCATGCTATGAAACTACTTCCTTATGGTGTTAATTTTTTATAGTACTTTGTAATATATTTTGAAGCAAATTAATTAGCGAATTAACCGTTGAAGTGCAATAACGAAGACTTTAAGTTTGTTAAGACTTAGTTTCTCTGTTTTAAAACTCATATAATAATCTAGGATCAAATTAGACACATTCTAATACTACCAATCTCGATGTCCATATCCAGATTTATAATACAAAGATATGTCTAATCCAATTGTATGTTATTATATATTTTAATGGAGGGAGTATATACTCTTGCCCCGTCATTTCCACTATATAGAATCGGTCACTGTAAAAAACTAAAATTTTTCGGTCACTGTAAAAAACTAAAATTTTATAACTTTCAAGTTTTTTCATCAAAGTTTATTTTTTACTGTGATATTTAAATCACTAAGACATATATATATACAATTTTTATTCGCAAATATTTTTTGTTTTGCTAATACAACGTATGACATATTTCAGCATTTAGCCAACGGATAGGCGTCTCTATTGACTATTCTCTTTGACCTACTTTTTCTTTTCAACCAATCACACACTTCTTTCAATAATCATCTTAACATACTTTCTTAATACCTCAAAAATATTGGGAACGAACAAGTATTAGGATGGCGAATGACAAGTTGACGATCGAGCGACAGAGGAACCTCCACCCACGGGAGGGCGCAGATATATACAAACAGTGCATGGCATTGTCTGCTGGTCAGATCGAGAGTAGTGAAACGATCACCAAGAAATTAAAATGGCGTTCCTCTTCCCGTCCCTTCTTCTTCCATGGCTGCCATGGCTTCTGGGCTCTCTCCTCTCCGTCTACCTCCTTGACCTCCTCGCCCACTCTCGCCGCCGCCTCCCGCCGGGTCCCCGCCCTCTGCCGTTCATAGGCAGCCTCCACCTCCTCGGTGACCAGCCACACCGCTCTCTCGCCGCCCTAGCCATGGCCTACGGCCCACTCATGTCGCTCCGACTGGGCGCGGTCACCACGGTGGTCGCCTCCTCGCCGGCCGTCGCCCGCGAGATCCTGCACAGGCACGACGCCGCCTTCGCGAGCCGCTCCTCGCCGGACTCCACCGGCGACCACGCCAGGAGCTCCGTCGCGTGGCTGCCCAGCAGCGCGCCGCGGTGGCGGGCGCTCCGCAGGATCATGGCGACGGAGCTGTTCGCGCCGCACCGGCTGGACGCGGCCGCGCCGCGGCGCCTCCGGCGAGAGAAGGTGCGGGAGCTGGTGGCGCACGTCGCGAGGCTGGCGGCCGGCGAGGGGGGCAAGCCGGCGGTGGTGGACGTGGGGCGCGTGGCGTTCGCGACGAGCCTGAACCTGCTGTCGCGGACTATCTTCTCCCGCGACCTGACGAGCCTGGACGACCATGGCGGGTCCAAGGGGTTCCAGGAGGCGGTGGCGAGGATCATGGAGGCCGGCGGGCGGCCCAACGTGTCCGACTTCTTCCCCGTCCTCGCCGCCGCCGACCTGCAGGGGTGGCGCCGCCGGCTGGCGCGCCTCTTCGCGCGGCTTCACCGGGTGTTCGACGCCGAGGTGGACGCCAGGCTACGCGAGCACGACGCCGGCGAGGCCAGGAAGGGCGACTTCCTTGACGTGCTCCTCGGCATCGCGGCGCGGCGGGATGATGCGGCGGAGCTCGACCGTGACACTCTCCGCTCATTATTCACGGTAATCCAATTAATACTATATTTCCCCCCTAATCCCTTTAATTAATTGAACGGAATGGCGGTGATTTCTTAAATTATACTCCGTAATATGTGTTACAGTGCAGTTACGTATACTGTAGTTACAATGTAATGTAACAATAGCATAATTAATTGCGACAATTTTTTTAGCAAATCTGTTTTCATGTATTCCTTGATGATGTTTTTTAATATCTGGACATCCACGCGAGAATATATTTTGGATAAATATGCTAGTAGAGATCACCGTAAATATATATACTTCTTTACCTTGAAAGGGTAAGAATCAATTATAAAGTTTAGAGACAATTCTTCTTTACCTTTATTTTTTTAACTTCAAATATTGTAATGTTACACCAATCTTTTCAATTTATTCATTTTCCCTTAATTATATACTAACATTACTACTATCTTTTTAACTTCGTGATTTAGCCCTTATTTGTCCCCTTACGCCCCAGTTTAGAGGACTTAATAGTTTTAAAATGTACGTATGCCCGGCCTTGCAGGTTTGCCGCTGTTTTTTTAGTACTTTGTGATTTTTTTCCCTATTTTGACATCAACCACTTTGACATGAATTCTATCCCTTTATGGTTTTAAAACGTTTTAACATGAATTTTCACTTATGCGATTAAAAAAATGTTGCCAAGCATAACTGACATAACTTTTGTGTTCTTGTTTAATTTGACATGAATTATAACGCAATTTGTTAGTCCTCTTAGTGGATTGAGGACAAACATAAGTATTAGTTAAAAAATGAAGAGCAAAATCACATAGTTGGAAAAGTAAGCAATACTTGCACTGTTCACAGTTTGATTTTGTCCTTTTTCTTCCACTCGCTTTCTATGGTGAGTTTTTAGACTTGAATATTTATACTGGTATATATGAAGAAAGTGTATCGTGAATTTTTTCGGATTTGGTTTTCACGAGTACGTTAGGCTGAGTTCGTTTGGTCACTTTCCCAATTTTTTTACACGAGAAAGTGTGTCGTGAAATGTTTTCGGATTTGGTTTTCACGAGTACGTTATGCTGAGTTCGTTTGGTCACTTTCCCAATTTTTTATGCACATGCTTTTCAAACTGTTAAATGGTACGTTTTCTGTAAAAAAAATTTTCTATGCGAAAATTACTTTAAAAATTCATATGGAAAATTTTCTGTAAATTTTTTTTAAGTTTTTTAGTTAATACTTAATTAATCCTGCGTTAATGCATACATTGTTTTCAAATATAATATATGTATTGTAAGGTGTAATAATGTGAGTCAATGCATTCCTTAAGTTTTTTAGTTAATACTTCCTCCGTTTTATATTATAAGACTTTCTACCATTGCCCGTATTCATATATATGTTAATAAATTTAGACATATATATGTGCCTAGATTTATTAACATCTATATAAATGTGGGAAATTAATGCTAGAAAGTCTTATAACCTGAAACGGAGGGAGTCAATGCATACATTGTTTTTGAACAGAGACCCAGTGTATTTGATGAGAGGACACATCTCCTTAAGGTGTAAAATGCATATCCTAAGTCCTAAATATAATATATGTATTGTAACGATGGTATGGATTGTTTTAAGGTTGTAATAGTGATACTATATAGGTTAGTGCTGGCACACATTGAATTAAAAATATGATCGAGGCCATCACTAAAAAAATAGGTGCCATATGGTGCGACACATAGGACATTGCATGGCGTTAATAATAGCTAAGTATCTCTTAGTATTAAAATAAATCAATTTAGAATTAAATGAGGCCCTAAAAAGCACAATGAATTTGGATAGAAGATTGTTTCATCTAATCTTAAATTGATTTATTTTGGTAAGGATATAGTAGCCGGTGTGGTAGATTGACCATGGAAATAGGCGCCCATAGTTTGTCCCATTTATATGTACAGTATACAAGCTAAGTATAACGCTGGAATAAAGTATTTTAAATAAAGTGCAACTAGCTAGAAGGGGCTAGAACTATAATTAATAATCATTGCCAAACCTATGACTTGTCGAATGAATTAATTATTACTCTCCGCTAGTACTCTCTCGATCTGGCCATTATCAATAGAGAATAGTACTGTACTAACGAAGATCAGAAAAATACCCAAACTCATCAGATCTGAGATAAAATACACACGGGATCTACTTAGAACAAGTTTAATAGTATAGCCAACTAATAGCTCTAATTTATCTATAGTTAATCTAATAGCTCATTTATATAATAGTTACATACTACATTATTAATACATGGTTTGACCTGTCATACATACACTGTGTCTCGGAGTCCGTGCTACAGCTGGCTACAAATCTATAGCCCGCTGCTCCTCTCTCATCATTTATCTTCTTAAAATATATTTATAACTGCCTTATAGCCTGCTATTGTACATGCTCTTGACCAAACAATCTGTAGTCCCAAATTATCATATCGAACAGGGAGCAAGGCTAATCTATAGTACCACATCAATTGACTTGCACCCAATTGGTTGTTGTCTAGTCTAATATACTATATACTAGCTTATTAATTAAGCACCACAACCAACCATCACGCCCTACCGCATTAGAGCAAGTTTAATAGTATAGCCAACTACTATCTCTAAATCATATATAGCCAATGTAATAGCCAATTTATACAATAGTTGCTTACTATACTATTAATACCTGACCCTGCCTGTCATACACACATTATATCTTGGAGTCCGTGCTGCAGCTGGCTACATATCTGTAGCCCGCTGCTCTTCTCTCTCTTCCTTTATCTTTTTAAAATATGTTTATAGATGGCTTATAGCCTGCTATTGTATCTGCTCTTAGGGGAAAGAGAGAGGATAAACCCATACACAGGGCGTTGATGAGCTGCTAATCGGGTCTTCACTACTTTAAAAATTCACGTGGTATCTTTATTTTTTTTTCAATCACATGGTGTTAGACATGTATGCACATACATCACTATACATATAACACCATACTCACACCGAGCAAATGCATCTCCTCACACATATCCTTAGAGATATAACTCAATGACATCCTTAATCTTACTAAATTCTTATTTAAAGCTCAACTACATATGTCTAATATTTGTGAGCACTTGGTGGGTGAAGTCATCCACCTACGACTCCACCACCACATCACCGGTGAAATGAGGGGAACTAGCTAGAGAACGTTATACCGTTGGTCCAGTAAAACTTTTTGATGTCTTGATAACACAGAACCTTAGATACTAGATGTGGTATATATGTTATCAAATATGGTATAGGAGTACCATACATTGATACCCATAGGTATGTACCAATCATTCTAATACTTAGGTATCATGATGATGTGAGGAGTGTAAACTATTTCATCTTAGTTGGTATACTATGTTGTAGTATTTCTGTTATCACTACAACACAACACCAAAATAGAGACAATAGATTCATGGAAAAAATAGATGTCACTAAGTCTGTCGTGAAAGGTGCTATCACATGGTCGGTTGGGGTATATTTATCCATCAGAAATTATCTTATCTGTCATGAAAAATATTGAACAACCTACATATATACATCTCCTGCTAACAAAAAGAAAGTTTGTCGGCAAATATTTGTCTCTACTGCTAGACCCCTGGCAAGCACTTGTGGCAGACTTTGTCGGTAGCTAGAAGTGTTTCCCAAGTCCCAACAGGCAGTTTGACATTGGCCGTGTTTAGTTACTTTGCCAAGAAAATTTTGACGTATACGGATATACATTTGAAGTATTAAATGTAGACTAATAATAAAACAAATTACAGATTCCGCCTATAAACTGTGAGATGAATCTATTAAGCCTAATATTACTCTGTCATTAGCAAATGTTTACTGTAGCACCACATTATCAAATCATGGTGTAATTAGGCTCAAAAGATTCATCTCGTAATTTACATGTAAACTGTACAATTGGTTTTCTTTTATCCATATTTAATACTCCATGCATGTGTTCAAGCATTTGATGTGACGGAAAAATAGAAGTTGAAAAGAACTAAACACAGCAATTGATAGCTACTTATCCCAACAGATCAAGTCTTTATATACCTAAGTCGTGTTGTTCTGTATGGAATTTACATGGGATTAGGGATCGAGTTAAACCTAGGGCTTAATCTTTAACTGCGCTATGCCTAGCTAGCTTTGCCCCTGTGGCCTGTGCATGCAGCATGGAATAGGAGGTGGACATTGGTGAAAGTTCAGTGATGACTAAATTGGATCGGATGAAGTATTTTCCATAAAAAAAGCAATTAAATTGTAAGGTGTAATATTTTTTCTTATCTATAACGATATAACTGCTAGTAATGTAACTAATTTGACAATTATAATTCATGTTTTAGGATTTGTTTTGTGCGGGAAGTGACACAAGCTCTAGCACTGTCGAATGGGCAATGGCAGAGTTGATGCAAAATCCAAAGTCCATGTCTAGAGTTTGTGATGAGCTTTCACAAGTTATTGGCTTAGGAAGAAATATCAAGGAATCAGAGATTGGTCAGTTGCCTTACCTTCAAGCTGTGGTGAAAGAAACATTTCGGCTCCATCCTCCAGCTCCCTTATTATTACCACGCCAAGCTGAGATGACAATGAAGATAGCAGGTTATACAATACCCAAAGGGACACGGATTTTCGTAAATGTATGGGCGATGGGCAGAGATAAGGATATATGGCCCGAACCAGAAAAATTTATACCAGAAAGATTTTTGGGAAGTAAGATCGACTTCAAAGGAGTCCATTTTGAGCTTATTCCATTTGGTGCAGGTCGTCGGATATGCCCTGGAATGCCACTAGCAAATAGGATGGTACATCTAATTTTGGGATCATTGTTAAACCAATTCAAATGGAACCTACCAGTTAAGGTAGAAAGGAATGGGATAGATATGTCAGAGAAGTTTGGCTTGACACTTGCAAAGGCCACCCCTCTGTGTGCTCTAGTTACACCAATTTCAGTCAAGCCAGCCGATCATCAAGAATGATAACTTGAATTTTTCTTTTATATTGTCCCAGCATTGGGTTTATTTGGATTGCATTTCTGTGGCAACAAAATGACACATTTTCATCTGAATTTGGCGATCATATCGCATACTGTACTCTAATAACTTGATATTCATCTACAAAGCAATAAGTTTATAATTTCAATACTCTTGGTATATTTGTCAGTATTTGGTCTGACCGGGCTATTAGGCCGGTCTGACCGGCCGGTCTGACCGCCGACCCGATAGTGGTCCGACCAACACCTCAGGCTGGTCTGACCGTGCGCCAAGTGTCGGTCTGACCGGCGCATCTGGCCGGTCTGACCGGTGGTCTACGACCGGTATGACCGGGCTCCAGCGCCGGTTTGACAGGAGGGTTGCGAAAGGCGATGAGAGGGCTTCATCGTCTTCAAACAGGGTTAATAGAGGGCATTATCTACCTCCCGGAACAGAGCCGAATCCTAGGTGGATGCCTAAGGATTTGATGGCTACTCAAAAGAGAAGGTTGCAACGTCTTCGGGCCCAAGAGCTAAGAGAGAAAAAGGCCGAAGAGCAAAGGGATAAAAGGTTCAATGAGTTGCGACCCCCACCGGTATGGAGGCCTAAATCCATAAAGAAGGCAAAACCGATTGGTGTAGAGGAAAAGGAAGAACAATCGGTTCATAAAAGTGAATCATCTCCAAAAGAAGACATGTATATCAACATGGTATGTATGTTGCCTATGGAGTTTTGTGCTATGGATGAAGCCGAGGTTGCTCAATTCTCATTAGGTCCTAAAGACGCGGTTTTTGAGATACCTGATGAGTCGAACCGTCACATGAAGCCTCTCTATCTCAAAGGCCATGTTGATGGGAAGCCGGTCTCTAGGATGCTAGTGGATGGAGGTGCCGCCGTGAGCTTGATGCCATATTCGTTGTTCAAGAAGTTGGGGCATGAGGATGATGAGTTGAAGAAGACCAACATGATTCTCAATGGCTTCAATGGTGAACCAACGGAGGCGAAGGGTATCTTTTTGGCGGAGCTCACCGTGGGAAACAAGACGCTACCAACCGCTTTCTTCATCGTCGATGTGCAAGGTAACTACAATGTTATTTTGGGTCGTTGTTAGATTCATGCCAATTGTTGTGTGCCTTCTACCTTGCATCAATGTTTAATTCAATGGGACGGGCGATGATGTTGAAATTGTTCAAGCGGATACATCGGCCGAGGTTGCAATGGCCGATGCTACTTTTGAGTGGCGTCATGGGAATATCCAATGCTTATCGGGGAGGGATCTTTCTAGCTATGATTTTATTAGTATATCCGATGGCAAATTTGTACCTATCTCTGTAAAGCCGGCTAGTGTAGCACGGCTAAGCCATATAAATTTGTATAATGAGTAAAGAGGCTAATTTAGAGTGGTTACAAAAAAGGGTGCAAGAATATCGGTCTACAAAGAACGATATTGGTGAAACCATTGAAGATTTTGATGAAGTGGAGAAGCTTGGACAAGGGTTTACATCGGCCGATCCATTGGAGGAAGTGGACATTGGTGATGGAACTAAACCTGTAAACAAAAACATGAGAGCCGATTATAAGGTTAAGATAATCGAGCTACTTAAAGAGTATGTTGATTGCTTTGCATGGGAGTACCATGAGATGCCGGGTCTTAGCCGTGAGCTCGTTGAGCATCGGCTTCCAATTAAACTGGGTTTTAGGCCTTATAAGCAACCACCTCGTCGTTTTAATCCTTTGCTATATGACTGAGTCAAAGAGGAGATTGATTGGTTATTGAAGGCGGGGTTTATTAGGCCATGTCGTTATGCGGAGTGGGTTTCTGGCATAGTCCCGGTGGAGAAGAAGGGGAGTGGTAAGATTAGAGTTTGCATAGATTTTAGAGATTTAAATAAAGCCACTACCAAAGATGGGTATCCTATGCCTATAGCCGACATGATGATTAATGATGCCTCGGGTCATAAGGTGATTAGCTTTCTAGATAGTAATGCCGGCTACAATCAAATCTTTCTGGTGGAAGAGGATATGTACAAGACGGCTTTTAGGTGCCCGGGGTTTGTTGGTTTATTTGAGTGGGTTGTCATGACCTTTGGGTTGAAGAATGCCGGTGCAACATATCAAAGGGCAATGAATTTGATCTTCCATGATTTGCTAGGTATTATCTTAGAGATCTATATTAATGATATTGTTGTCAAATCGGATGGTATGGAAGGACACATAGCCGATTTGAGATTAGCTTTTGAGAGGATGCGCCGGTATGGTTTGAAGATGAACCCACTTAAATGCGCTTTTGGTGTGTCGGCGGGAAAGTTCTTAGGATTCATGGTGCATGAGAGAGGAGTTGAGATTGATCCTAAGAAGATAGAAAAGATTCGTGATTTCAAAGCGCCGACATGCAAGAAGGAAGTACAAAAGTTGCTAGGTAAGGTGAATTATTTGAGAAGGTTTATTTCTAACCTAGCGGGTAAAATCGATGCTTTTGTTCCTATACTTCGCTTGAAAAAAGAAGCCGATTTTACTTGAGGGGCAAAACAACAAGAGGCGTTTGAAGAGTTGAAGAGGTATTTGTCTACTCCACCCGTTGTGCGAGCGCCTAAAGCCGGAAAGCCTTTTCAGTTATATATTGCCTCCGAGAACAAAGTCATTGGTGCCGTTTTGACGCAAGAGGAAGATGGCAAGGAATATATCATTACATATTTGAGCCGCCGTCTTTTGGATGCCGAAACGAGGTATGTCTTTATAGAGAGACTTTGTTTATGCTTATACTATGCTAGTACCAAATTGAGGCATTACTTGTTATCTAGTACATGCATAGTTGCTTGTCAAGCCGATGTTGTTAAACACATATTGCAAAGGCCAATTCTAAGTGGGAGAATTGGCAAGTGGGCATATGCTTTGATAGAATATGATTTGGCTTATGAACCATTGAAATCTATGAAAGGCCAAATTGTATGTGATTTTATAGTGGACCATCATATAGATATTGCTTATGAGGGAGAGGTTTGCTTAGTTGAAGTTATACCTTGGAAGATTTATTTTGATGGTTCTTCTTGCAAAGAAGGTCAAGGCATAGGGGTAGTTTTGTTTTCACCTAATGACATGTGTTATGAAGCATCGGTTCGTTTCGAGTATTATTGTACAAATAATCAAGCCGAATACAATGCTTTATTGTTCGGCTTACAAGTTATGGAGATGGTTGGAGCTAAATACATGGAGGCTTTTGGTGATTCGGAATTGGTGGTGCAACAAGTCGTCGGAGTCTACAAATGCTTGGACAGATCACTAAATAGGTACCTCGATTCATGTTTTGGATATTATTGCCAATTTTGATAATTTTGCTATTAGGCATATTGCTAGTCGTGATAATTCTAGAGTAAATGACTTGGCACAACAAGCATCTGGCTATAATGTGAAGAAGGGATTATTTCTAATAATAGAAGAGCCGGTGCTTGATATTAAATCTTTGTGCGAAATTGGCAAAACTGGAGACCAGGGGTGGTCTGACCGGCATTGCACGGCCGGTCTGACCGGTGACCAGGGGCGGTCTGACCGGCTGCATGCCGCCGGTCTGACCGGTGACCCCGAGCGGTCTGACCGGCCTTGTGTGGCCGGTCTGACCGGTTCTGGGCTGGATGCTAGGGGGCACGTTGCGATCAATTTGGAGGCCGAGTTAACTGTAAATTCGGACATTTGTGCCCAGGAAGCAGAAGAAGATTGGAGAATTCCTTTGATTCGGTATTTGAAAGATCCCACACTTAAGGTTGATCGGAAAATTCGGCGGCAAGCGTTCAAATACACATTGCTTGATGGGAATTTATATCGCCGGAATATAGATGGTGTCTTGTTGAAGTGCTTAGATGAAGATCAATCTAAAGTAGCTATGGGAGAGGTACATGAAGGAATTTGTGGAACTCATCAATCGGCCCATAAGATGAATTGGTTGCTTAGGAGAGCGGGGTTCTATTGGCCGAGGATGATTGATGATTGCTTTAAATATTATAGAGGATGCGAGGCTTGTCAACGGTTCGGCAATGTTCAATTGGCGCCCACCGCCGTGTTGAACCCCATAATCAAACCATGGCCGTTCCGAGGATGGGCTTTGGATTTCATTGGTCAAATTTATCCTTCGTCATTAAAAGGGCATATGTTCGTGCTAGTTGCTACGGATTACTTCACCAAGTGGGCCGAAGCCGTGCCTTTGAGGAATATGACTCATACGGAGGTAATTGACTTTATTTTGAAGCATATTATCCATAGATTTGGTATTTGACAAGCATTAACTACGGATCAAGGTGCTTCTTTTATGTCTAAGGAAGTGAAAAATTTTGCCGAATCTTATGGTATTAAATTGTTGAGTTCTTCTCCTTACTACGCTCAGGCTAATGGACAAGCCGAGTCGAGTAATAAAACATTGTTGAAGTTGGTGTAGATTACAAGACGTTGATGGGAGACAACCTTGATGAAGTCATCGACAAGCGCTTGAAGGCATTGGAAGAGATAGAGAAAGAGAAGAAGAGGGTAGCCAAGGCATACAACAAGAGGGTGAAAGCAAAGTTGTTTCAAGTTGAAGACTTGGTTTGGAAGACAATTTTGCCTTTGGGTACTCGATCCAAGGAGTTCGGTAAGTGGTCTCCTAGTTGGGAGGGTCCTTATCGAGTGTGCGGCATTGTTCGAGGGAACCCATACTTTTTGGAGACACTTCAAGGGGAGCGTTTTCAGCGAGCAATCAACGGGAAATACTTGAAGAAATACTTCCCGAGCGTTTGGCAAGATGCTTAGGAGGTACTATATATGGCCGGTAATTGGATTATCGTCCTAAGACCAAAACATGTTCTATGCTTTTAGATTCACGTTGTTCATAAAAAAGGCAGGGGGGCATGTGTTTACACCCAAATTTGGCACCTAGGATTAAAGTAGGAAAGATTGCTAAAATTTGGAAGTCTACCGGTTTCCTCCGAGTGGGCCGGTCTAACCGCCGTGTGTTGGGCGGTCAGACCGTCGGTTGAGGG